GCCTCTCCGCAGACTTGATTTAACACACGATTGGATTGATCTAGACTAGGCATCTTTGGATGGGAGAAGTTAGATAGAAAGTAAAGTTAATTAATGCTATTTTTATTAAATAAATTGAAGAATGCTTGCTACTAAGAAAATATAATAACTAAACACATTTTGCATTACGTGAGCTTCATATGCCTATACCTGATCGGTTCAGCCACGTCACAATCCTGCCCAACAAAAGTCAACGGAAGCCAGGAGTTATCCATGTTTAGTTGAGGCGTACCAATCGCGCTCAGTGTATAAAAAGCAGTTTGTAGTCGAAGAACGTCTTGTTGCCTATAGCCCATAGGCGTCGCAGACACTAGCTCGACCAAATTCCTGGAAGCAGATTGGAGAATGCTAGTTTCAAACCCAGAAACGAGTTGAGTGGCTTTTGCTGATGCTGCTACCAAAGAATCGAACTGTCCGAAATTTGTGGCCAATCCTGCAGGAGGGGCGAAGAAGAGTCCGAGAACAGCTGAGTTATTTAGAGCCACACAAGTGGCTCGGTGGTGACCGGGCGTCCGAATGAAGCCAACTGTCGGTCCATATGTGCTTAATGCAACCCGACCAATTTGAGCAAGATCGCTGGATCCCAAGAGCTTGGAAGGTAAGCCACCAGGTATACTGTCAATACCAGCTGCACATGAATGCTCATCAGGAGGTAAGGCCTGGCCTCCGAATGGGCCAAAGAAGCAGTCAGAGAGGATAACCTCACTGGAACACTCCTGTCAGGTCAAGATATGATGTTTTCAGATGAATTTGAGTATACAAATTATTACAAGTTGCTTTTTATTTATGTAAGCGTGCGTTTACGTTTATATAAATAAAAAATACGAAACAAGAAAGCAACATGATGAGACTTTTGGCAAAGATGGGACATAAGATCGGATAATGAAAATGAGCTATTTCTATAGATTGGTGCAAATATTTGGTAGCATTATTGCTACGGTTAACCTTGAATTATAATTGCGAATACTTAAGCCGATGCAATTAGAGGTAATGAAAATATATCGCATAAACAAAGCAGAAGAAAACTCAACATAGATTTAGAAAATTACTATAAAGAAGAGTTAGTATTTAATTTCAGAATCTACAATGGAGTTTTAAAATGAAACAATCGCAGTAACAAAGGTAAAAATATTTGATTCTTAAAATACTATTGAGGAGTAATAAGAATCAATTAGGATCTCATATAATCTAGCAGAGTTTTAGATATTAGCGGTTATTCCGGTCGCTAACAAGTGTGGAGAATTATTAATTTTATGCAGAATTAAACAACTATATGATATGTATTCACCATATTTCGCTTAAGGTGATGAAGGACTTGTAGCTGAATTTTCCGACAATGATCTAAGTAGAGCTGACCTTTCCATTGAATATCACATAGCTTTGCTTTACTAAAACTTGTCCTAGGTCTTATCAACAACCCCAGGGGAAGTCGAACCATGAAGTGTAAGCTCGACACATTAAACAATCCGCCATAATGCCACGAGTGCCCTTGGTACGCCGGGCAGATATGAATTCTAAGGAAGACCAGACATTGTCCATATCACATTCTGTATTGGGATTGTCGATGAAGCAAATTTATATTTGCTATAACAATCGACGACATTGCTTTCCTCGTGAGTGAGTAGGTTTTCGTTACTACCAATAAATCGGTTATATGATATGTATTCACCATATTTCGTTTAAGGCGATGAAGGAATTGTGGTTGAATTTTCCTACAATGCTATGAGTAGAGCTGACGTTTCAGTTGAATTTTACATAGCTTTGCTTCCCAAAGTAATGTCTTCGATTGCAACGGAAATCATAAGTTTGCTTCATAGACAATCCCAACACAGAATGTAATATGGAAAATAGCTGACCTTCCTTGAAATTCTCATCTGTCCTATGACACAAGGGCACTCGTGATAAAGTGACGGAATGGTTATCGTGTCGAGCTTATAGTCT